TCAGCTTTCTTTTTTCTCTTTTGGCTAAAGTAATTTTTTTGTTTCTATTATTAATTTTACTTCCCTTGCAGTAATTGCACTAATTTCTTGACATAATCTAGATATGGTTGGTTCTCTTGCAGTAATTGCACTAATTTCTTGACATAATCTAGATATGGTTGGTTGGCGTACATCCTCTATAAGAAGGGAGACAGAACTTTTCAAGGTGATCTTATAATTATTAAATACTCTATTATTTTTCAAGGAGATAATCATTCATTCTGATTAGATGTCTACAATATCGCACTATGAATTCGGGTAGTTAGTCTGGATAAATTGGTGTGAGGTCAAGTATAGCTACTGTTTCAGGTAAAGAGTAATTAAACAAGGTTCAGATCTAAAGTTTAAGCTTTCATTATGTTTTGAAATAGACATATTGATTATTTGCAATCATGAAACACTCACAGAGTGCTGAGGTTTTGATGACTCAGACAAGGGCTTTCCTTTCTGTCATGCAAACTTTGTTTCCTTTCTGTTCAAGCTGTGTTTCTCTTAGAGGCTTAAGTTGGTTAACTTTAGTGGTAATTTTTGTATTAGCATTCTATAGTATGATTCTATTCTCGTGGGCTTTCTGATGCGAAAATGATTTAATGATAAACAAGACCTCATAATGTAATTTTCATATTTTACTTAAATGCTAACCTCTTTAATGCTTTCCGCAGCTCTGTGGTGGATAGAGATTCAAGTATTGTAGGTCAACCTTTAGATTTGTCGTCTAGTGGTTAGGACATTGGGCTCTAAAATCCTTAACCCGAGGTCAAATCTTGCTGGAACTTTTACCTTGTTGTACTTTTAGTTTCTACTTGGTCTTTTTTTTTATAACCCTGGTGTCCAAGCCAGCTTGCACGCACCTCGACTAATTCCACGGGATACCTGTCACCTCCCACTAGCAACAGGTACCAGGTAACTCTATCCACCAAGACTTGGATAGATGGGAAGAAATCACCTAGTGTTTTTTGCCTCCGCTGGAATTTGGACCTAAAACCTCATGATTCTCACCTACTTCATTAACCACTAGGTCACACCCTTGGGTGCTAGTTTCTACTTGGTATAGCAACTAAAGAATTACCCTAGTTGCTTTAATGTGGAGAAAAAGATGCGAGAGGCGAGGCTAAGATGGTTCGGGCATGTTAAAAGGAGAAGCACAGATGCCCCAGTCAGGAGGTGTGAGAGGTTGGCCTTGGGGGGTACGAGGAAGGGTAGAGGTAGGCCAAAGAAGTCTTGGGGAGAGGTGATCAGGCGGGATATGACGCAGCTTGAGCTAACCGAGGACATGACTCTTGACCGCTTTCTTGGTGGCCAAAGGTAGCAGTCCGAGACTGAAATCGGCGACGAAGTCGACCAAAACTTGTGATTTGATCGTAGTCTTGGGTTTATATTCGATGTCAAATTCACTCATTTCGACTGCCCACTTGGCCAGTCGACCTGGCAATTCCAGTTTGTGAAGGACATTCCGCAGGGGAAAAGTTGTCACCATGGCTATCGGGTGACATTGAAAGTAAGGCCTAAGCTTTCGAGTGGCGACTATGAGAGTTAAAGGCCAATTTTTCGAGGTGCGGATAACGAGTTTCCGCTCCCGTTAAAATTTTGCTAACATAATAGATCGAAGACACTTTTCTGATAAAATCCTTTAGGAGTTCATTATAACAGGATGAATGTGTTTCTCTACCAGTCTAAAGATTTCTTAAACTTGCAGCCACCTCGGCGATCTTTGGATGGATACAAGCATGTTGTAGATATGGAATATTGTTCAGCCGTTACATCTGAAGGTCCCCATTTCCCTCCCGAGGCAGCCAAAGCAAAGGAGGCAGCTCAAAATGCACCCAGCGCACAGACCACATTGGAATACCATGAAATTATGGAAGGTAATATTACTAAGAAGCTGTTTCTGACAGTTGAAAATGAATCTCAAAGCCCTTACATCTGCTTATTTTGCGGCACACTGAATCTCAGTACTCTTTTTCGAACAGAGGAAATGATAGGTGGCTTGCAGCAGTTAAGTTGGAAGAAAGTTGATGTTAGCTTTCATTCAGCATTTTGGCCTTTCTTCGCCCATAACAATATCCATGTAAAGTCCTGGCAAATATGTTAAGGTTCCAACCTGTCCATCTGTATCTAATTTGATCACTATTCCTGGTAACAGGTAAAGAATGAATGGTTTCACAATGCTGGAGCTGGAGTAATTGCACATGTGGCAGACCACATAAAGCAACAAGAGAAGCAACGGGAATACTCCTTATTTTTAACTGCTAGTTTGTAGTTCATGCAGCTGTTCAACAATTGATATTGTTTAGAAAGGAATGACGCTAGTTACTTCCTTCTAATAGCTATAATTGATTGCAATGTTACTCTGTTTTAAGTTGCTGTAAAGTACTTGGGCAAACTGCAAAAACTTTAGGAAGTCTTGTGGAACTGGACAATGTTATACTAAAATGGTGTTGCTTTCGTTGTGTAACTGAAGGAAGAAACTATGATGCCAACATTTTGCTTACAAGACGAATAAATCAAAGAAATGTGAGGGCAAGAACTTCCAACCTGGAACTGTTTGGAGGAAAATGAATTCTGATGAAAATTTGAGAAGATATGGCAGGGAAGGCACTCTAGAAATAGTTTGGGGTAAAACTATTTCCCATCGTTTGCTGGAAAACAAACAGAAGAATATTGTTGACAAGCTAAGAGTAACTTAAGCTAACCATTGACCAAATGAAACATTGCACCAAAAAGAACACAGCATGTTATCCACTCCTAAGATAACATAATGCAGTTAGGCCTCTCAATATATTTGGTTTACAATCTTCCGGAGTGCGTGGTAAATCTAGGATTCAACCCTACAAGTAGTTGTGACCAAATATAATCAAGGTACTAATGGACATGCAAAATAAGCTCTTGATTTGAAAAACAAATAGGGGCGCAGATCATTTTTAGTTGGTCTACTTTTTGGAATGACAAGTAGGCTGCAGTCTTGATCTTAGAATTTGCAAATGGCAAGCATCATGGGTATTACTAGAACATAAAGGTGTCAAATGTCTTTGTCCAGTACAATATTATCAGTTTTTTGGGGGTAAAAAGGTAGAGAAGATTCGAGTACATTCAACTAGGTATTTTTAAAAGTTTGCTAGAGATAGGGGTAAATTTAGCCGAATATTATAGCAGCACGGGTAAATTTAGCTAGATAATCTAGGTAAATCTAGGTAAAGCTTATTGAGACTTGAATCTTAACTTCGGTGAAAATCAGAAATCATGTCGTTGGAAAGGTACATAAGCTGACCAGTTCTTCTTTACTAAGTAAGAGAAATGCCACAACAGTTCAAATAACAAAGGTCAAGACTTACATATATGTAAACCAGGTAAACTTCTACTAACAGATTGAATTAAGCGAAATAAAAGGAGTGGTGGTTCGGGAATTCCCTTTAAAGGAATGTCATGACTCAAAATTTCACTCTCGTTAGGCAACCTAACATATAGTAACAAATGTAGAATCTAATTATTACGCCATTAATTATTTCATGATATAAATAACAATGCGGAATAAATGCCAATTCAGCATCATAATTGTAAAATCAAAGATAAGGTCTAAATACGACCACAACTGTCCAACAAACCTCCAAAATCCGGTGTCACTATATCACAAGCATCTAATAATTAAGAGTAACAAGTTTCACCTGAATGATAACATATGTTTGGAAAAAAAATACATAAACATAAATGAATAAGTAGGAAAGGGGGATTCTATGTGCTGCGAGTCGGATCAAGTATAACAGCTCACCACGAAGTCTCCAATTAAATACTCCTAATCAGCTCAATGGGTACCGCAAATACCAGTCTCAAAACCTGCACAAAATATATAGAAGTGTAGTATGAGTACAAAACCACAATACTCAATAAATATTAAGTTTAACCTCGAATAAGTAGCGGCGAGAGATCAATAGTCGGACCGACTAACAACTTAATAATCACAAGAGGTATAACAACATATGGAATAAAGCATGATATTATCAATCAAGTTTACTAGTACAAGCACATAAAACTGGAATGTAAACATGCTTTTCAAATAAGAGATAGCACATAGTATCAGATATCTCAAATCTTTCACAATCATGATATGCGCCAAATAACAGTGAGATAAAAGTAAGAGCCATTGCATGAGTCTACGCTACCAATGCACGCTCACAACTCCATATACCCGACACTAACAGAGTGTCCAAATCAATACCAATTTCAGTATCGTATGCCACTCGATCCATACATATTTTTGTGGCAGAGTGCTACCCAATCCACACCTAATAATACTGTTACGGTATGCAATCTGATCCGCACAACATCATCAATAACCAATATCCACTCATAATATCTGTGGTGCCCAAATTCTCAATTTTCCCATAATATTTAACTCTCAAACTCATAGATATATGTATGAGACAACATAATTAAAGGCACCAAATTATAATAATAGAAATGCGGATAAAAGTACATAAGGCTAAAAGATGGCTATGGCTAATCTTATAATTCAATTCATCTCAACAATTCAATAAGTAATTTCATCATTCAAAGGTCTTATTATAATATTTATCATGAATGAGATAAGCTATTTAACTACCAAATCATGAATCAATAAGACAAGTATATGACTACGGCTCCACAAAGAAGCTCAATATGACAAAACAATTATATATGCTAAATTTGACAAGTCATAAACTTAAGCATGTTCCCAAGATACAATTACAAGTCATCACGTAATTATATAACGAGTTCATATAGTCCAAATAAGGCATAATCATAAGCCAAACATTTACCGGATATGGCCATAACCTAGATATGCATATACACTCGTCATCTCACATATATGTGGCTCCTAAATGAAGCAATAAGTATCAAATAGATCACCTATAGAGAGAATTCCCTCTTATAAGGATAGAATAGAAGACTAACCTCCACACCTGGCAAGCTTTAATCAACAACAAACCGTGTTTTCATTCAAATCCAACTCCAAACGACTTAAATCTAGCCAAATACAACACAATAACATCAAACAAAGTTATAGGAATCAATTCCAAACAATAAAGTTTCAATCTTTAATCAAATCTCCAAAAGTCAGAAAAGTCAACCCGGGCCCATATTGGCAAAACCCGAGTCAATGGATAGATCCAAAATATCCACAACCCTACAAGTCCAAATATTTAATTAAATTCTAAAATAGGGTCCAAGTCGGCTTCCAAATCTTCAAATTACACCCTCTTAACTTGTAAACAAAAAATCCCAAAATTCACTTTAAATTCTAATTTTTAAGCGTAGAAATTCACGAGAAATCGATATATAAAACAAAATCGGTGTAAAAATTATTTACCTATAAAGTAATAGAGAAATGCTTCTTTAAAATCTCCTCATCTCGAAGTCTAGGGCTTAAAGTATGAAAGAATATGCTAAAATTCCGTAACAACTTAAATATTCTGCCCAGAAGTACCCTTCGCGAATGCGATACCTGCTCCATGTTCGCAAAGCACAACCTAAAGCCGCTGACAAAATACACTTCGTGATCGCGGCCTCAACCTCGCGATCGCGATAGCCAACAGTCCACTCTCTTGCGAACGCGAAGTCTAAATCCTCCCCTTCTAGCTCTATTTTTATGCGTGCAAATGCAGCAGAAACACCTCACAAATGCTACTCACCTCCCGCAATTGCAAAGCTCATCAGATACACTAGAAATCAACAATTCCAAACTCAACCGAAATAGTCCAAAATCACTCTGAAAACACCCGAGCTCCTTAGGACCCCGTCCAATCATACAAACAAGTCTAAATAGATTATCCAAAGGTTCAAAACACCATAAATAATATCAAAAACAAGAATTAAAGATCAAAACATTCTCTTAACATTCAAACATTCAAGCTTCGCCGAATTAGTCTGAATCATACTTAAGACCCTTTTGTCCATAAATGTTTTTTCCTTTTTTTTTGTCCCAATTTTTTTTTTCAAAAAATGTGTTTGTCCATGAAATTTTATAAATTTTTGGAGATTTTTAAATAATGAGTTATTCACAAACCAAAAAGCAGCTTTGACTACTTTTTCAGAATTTTCAAAAGTTATTTTTCCCCCTCATAAAACTGCAATATCTTTTCAAGTGAAATGAATGTACAAATACAATTTCAAATACCATTTTTCAACGTAACTCCAAATACTGCTTTTCTTAAAATTACATTTTTATGTCCAAACTCTTATTTAGGCATTCCAGATCATAAGCAAACTTCGCACACAAGCTCTATTTCACTAAGTGAAACTATCCAAGGTCTCAAAACCACAATCGAACCCCGGTAACACCAAAGTTAATTTTTGGTCAAACTTAAGAAATTTCATTTTTTCAAATGCCATCTTTCGGAAATTAGAGCCAAAACCTTCTCGGAACCTCTGAATCCAAATCCGAACACACGCCCAAGTCCAATACCATACAAACCTATTGAAACCATCAAATCCCGATTCTGAGGTTGTTCACTCAAAAGTCAAACCACGGTCAACTCTTTTAACTTAAAGCTTTCAAATTAAGAATTACTCTTCCAAATTAATAACCTCATGGAAATAAAAAACAACCACACACGCAAGTCATAACACATCATATGAAGCTACTCAAGGCCTCAAACTACCAAATAGAATGCTAGAGCTCAAAATTATTCTTTAGATCGTTACAGTCTCCCCACTTAAACATACTGTCACACTCCAAACCTGGAGAGGCATGGCCGGCACCCGGTGCCATACTTTGTCACAACCCAAATCCCACCATAGGGGTCGACGGATTGTGACAATACCTATTCTCTAAAATTAGGTAAGACGTTCACTTAACAACATCTAAATAAACAAAACATGATATATAATGGGACAAAGTGTTAATATAATAACAGAAATAGAGTCAACACTGGCCAAAATGGCAATACTCAACATAAATCTCCAAAACTAAGTAGTACAACGTCATGAGCTCTAACTGAATACATAAGAATATCTAAAATATACAATAATATTCGAATATAAAAATAATAGTATAAATATAAGGATATGACTCCAAGGGACTGCGACGGACAATGCGGTTCTTCCTTGAATCCTCACGGTCAATAAGCTCTCACTGCCTAGATCCTCTTCATCAGACACCTGGATCTGCACAAAAATATGAAGAAGTTTAATATGAGTACACCACGGTTGGTACCTAGTAAGTATCAAGACTAACCTCGGTGAAGTAGTGACGAGGTTCAAGTCATGTAAAACTCAATAGTCAAATAACATGTGTAATAAATCAAAGACTGACAACAAAAGTATAGCAAAAAACAATAACAATAATCTCATCAGGATAAGTGACAACAATTCAATGCAAGTAAAGGCTCAGCTTTAATAACAAGTCATCAAATAGAAATACAGGAACCTCGTGCCCACATTTTTATCACAACAACAATAGCCACACGTATCGCTCCACCC